GCGCGAAAATCGGTCGGCGCGCGTTGAGCGGAAACTTCAATCGATCATAACTCCGGAACCGTTCGGTTCCCCAGCTTATACGACCACTCGTTGGATGCGGAAAAAGACGAACAATTTAAAAAACTGGTTTTGGTTCAAATCAAAAAATGTGAAATTTCAGTTTAATCTGTTTAAAAGAAATTGTTTTTCCTCAAAAACTGAAAAAAAGCACATAAGTTAAGTTGAAAATTAAATTTTGGGATTTTGAACTTTAGAATCTTAAAGTATGCAATTTTAGACGATTTTTCGTCCAAACCGGGCCTCAATATCTTGTTTCGTTCGAAAGATATCGAGGGTCACAGGTTTTGACTTCCACCCCCCCTAGCGCCCCCCCCAAAATTTTTTGGGGGTCTGAAAATTTGAGGAAAGAAGCGCTCCAGTATTAGTAACTGATAGACGAAGTTTGAATAAGTTTTAGTGGGGGGGGCGAAAAATGTCGTTTTTGCATACGGCTCTTTGGCAACTCTCGAATGTTCAAACGGCGTTCTTCCTTGGCACGACAGTAGACTCGCCTGCGGCTTGTAAGTTGCCGGTGATTGCTAATGGACCACTAAACAAGAAACGAATTTAAGGGTTCTGATAGGCACATATTTCTTAACCAAAATTTCACGTAGAACACGATTCTTGCATCGAAAATTACCGATATCATTTCAGGTCTAAGATATTAACGTTTTTATTTTATATTGGTTACGGGAAATTTGAATTGCCCGTTCACAAGAAACTCAATATTCTACGTGAGTTCAATCGTGTACAGTTTCGGCAGGCTTCTCAATCCAGCATTGTTTATTTCCCACCCTGTGTTGCTCAAACTATAAACAACTTGCTAAAGCTGAGCCAAAGCGTCAAGATTGAGGCTGCCAGATTTTTATATCTCAGAGAGTGTCATGGTAATTTTTAGTGTGCGATTTGACTCACGTAGACCATTGAGTTTTCATGTGCAGAAGGTTTGAATTAACGCGTCAAGAAACATTAAATATCTTGGTTAGGAGTTACTTACAGTAATTTTTGTTGCGCAAATCGTGTTTTACTTGAAATTTTTGCCCAGAAACATGTATCAGAATGCTTGACTTCGTAGGTACCGTGTCTAGTGCTCCACTGGCGTAAGAGGTTTCCGATCAGCGGCCCGATTATTGATACCATGTCAGCCCGACACGACAAGACATAGCCCTATCTTAACCATGTAATATATCGCAATTCGATGTCTTATCGGACCACTATGAACTTTCAGTAATCGGCCCGCAGGACGTAATAGAGCTTGCTGACACTGCGCCAATATCATTATAGGCGATGGAATTTTCTTGAAGTTCCATGTTTCAAAACTACCGCGTATTTGTTACCAATATTGCGCAAAATTTCCATGGCGAATTCTGAATAATGTCAAAGATGTGTGTGTTCTACTTGATGAGTAGCACAAAGAAGTGGAGATAATGCTTTAACTCTCTAATTCGAGAAGGAATAGAGAAAGTTCGAACTGTATGCGTTAGAAAGCAGAAATCGAAATGTTGCCGAGTTCTCCAAATTGGTGCAAAAATTTAAAAATCATATCTAGTCGAGTGTATGCTGGTTCCGTAGTTCCTCATTCTCTTTACTCAATTTTAACTTAGCGAAAGCATGTTTTGCCTGAATTGGAACTTGGTCGGTTTTGGAAACAAATGAATTGCGCAAGTCAAAATGGTGGAAACTTGATTTGGCAAAATCCATGGAAAAGCGCTTTCAAATGTATATGCGGTACGAGGGACGATAGTTGGACTGCATTTTGAAATTTGGAACTGTAAATTCTGGCAAAACACTTATGTGGATAGGGAAACTAATGGCACATACGTTGTTCTTAAACAGGGCTAGGATTTATAGTTCCAAATTTCAAAATGTAGTCCAGTTGGTGTATGATGAGTCCCATTGCCTGATATTGAAGGAGATTCGTTTACCTGCATGTTCATGGCAAAAGAAAGTCACTTCAGATCGATTAGGCGCCTTCAAAAGGGAACTATGCAACACGATCGACGATAGTTGATGTATGAAAAGTCGCATCCTCTCTCATTGAAGGATATTTTTTTCGCCTAGTCCAATGGTAAGCAAAAATGTTGATGAAACAGCCATTGTGCACTGTTTAAAGAGTAAAATTAACAGTAAAAACGTCTGAAAGACTACTCAATGAAGTTATCGTCGTTGGCGTAGAAATCATTCTAAACAATTCGATTCGGGACCATCAAAAATTATACTGTTTTTTTTTTTTGTTTGTTTGGTTTTTTTTTTCCTTTTAAAACCTCAATGCCCTTCCACTGAAATTGAGAATTTTCCCCGGATTATGAGGAATCAAAGAGATATTCTGACGATCTTAGGACTTTCTGAAAAGGATATTTTTATAGTAAAATATTTTTTCACCTTCCGGCCACAATCAAAAGCGCCATGCGACGTTTCAAAATTTTCGGTGCCATTTTATTTTTTTACAAAGAAATTTCTCAACGAATCTTTCCGAAAATTTCGCTGAATTCCATCGGCTGCAAAAAGAAAATTCAGTGAAATTTTCGGACAGTTTCGTTAAAAAAGTTCGCTGTAAAAAAATGAAATGGCAGCGTAAATTTTGAAACGTCGCATGGTGCTTGCGATACTTTGGCCGGAAGGCGACGATTTCATCTCCTATTTTCCGTTGATTTCTGTCATCAAAGAACACGATTGCACAACACGTGTGATAGTTCCTCATAAAAACAAATGAATTTTATTGGAATGGTACTTTTCAACCATTGCCTCTTTCATTTTATATTTGGGTTAATAAATCCCTTCATTCCACTAACGAGACTAAAAATTGTGATGAAAAACAAGAATACGAACAAAACAAAAAACTTTTAAAATTAATAATCAACATTTATTTGATAATTAAACACTAAGTTTTGCATAATACTAGGTCAAAAAATAAATTTGAGAAAAGGACACAGTGAATTTTACCTCTAATTGTTCATCGCATTATTAGTAGATTAATGTTTAGAATCATAGCATTGCCCTAAGTTTTACTTTTATGCTAAAGTGAGGGATGCCGTACACATTAGGGGATATTTTAAGACGGCATAGTAAAATTATCTACGATTACATTAGGCAGAAAGTTTGGTGAGTATGCAAGGGTTATCATGATAAAATCATGGTGCAGTTTACCGATATAACAATCGATACCCAAATGGATCTTTTCAGAGGTGAAATTGGATAATCTTACATGCCTACTTTACAGGGAAAAGAGGGTTCTTGTTTATCAACTGACGCAGTCCAAATAAACATCTAAGTAAAAATTAATAATCACAAATTAACATGATTAAAAAGAATAAAAGTATGAACATCTGAAAAATATTTAGGCGGACACCCAGATGTATTCGTAACTATGAAACTTGAAACGACAAACAAATTTTTAAAATTACAAATTCAACAGACAACTTACAACAAATTTTATATATTTTGCAAACAGTTCGAGAGCCTTTCTTTTTTTTTCAATTTAGGTAAGCATTGGGTCATAGTAATGGTACTAATATCACAACACTTAGTAAAATTATCTGCAAAAGAAAAAGGCACAAAAGTAATTTCTATTTTTCGTTTCCAGCGATGCCCAATCAATGGTCACGATTGGTGAATTTCTTTATGAAGATGCAAAATCTTACATTTCAGTTTTGAATTTGCGAATTGGGTAATCAAGCGTTGAATTCAACGATAGAACAGACATGAAATGAACAAAATATTTGAAGCAGAAAAGTAAGGAAAGAGCACGGTCGAATGATAGGACGGCTGTATTGATTTGCTTAGCAGTAAAACTACAAAAATAATGGCTGCAAATTCTGTGAGAAGTGAAAATAATAATCTGAACAAAGGCAATTTAAAAGAAAAAAAAATGTTCCATTTTCTGTGAGAAAAAAATAATTCTACAGCACACATTTGAGGGACTTAACAGAGAGACTCCTTAAAAAAATTTGGAAAGTGTTTGAAAATTGTTAACCAAATTTAAAAAAATATATACCTACTTAGCACACATAAACTATGAAACAGAAAACGGCTTCCATAAAATTTTAAATAGTAAATCCTTCTAGGAAGTATACCACCTCGTCTTTTTAATTTTTGATATTCAAATGTGAAAAAAAAATGTGAAAATAATGAGAAAATAAATTTTTTTAAATTAAAATACCTACAATACATACTTAATCACTTAATCTAAATCTGTTAGAAAGATAAGTACGTAGTAGGACTGCTTTTAATTCGAAAGCATTTCAAGAGAAAAACTTTGTCTAATCAAGGGTAAGGGAGATTTAAGAAGTTAAAAATAGGTAAATTATCATTGACACTCCTGTGTATTCACATTTACAGAATAAATAGAAGGAAAAAAGAAATCCTGATAATTTATTTGATTAATGACTAAAAGCACCAGATTTGAATCTCTGGCCCGCAGAGACTCTAAAATTTAGCAGGAAGTAATACTGATTGCTGATCCACTGAAATTTTGCACCGAAAAATTTACATTTTGCAATAAACAGAAGTGTTATACATGATTCATGAGCCTTTTTATCCCATTTCTTTCGCTTTGCGTGATGGCTCAATGTGAAAAATGCGCGTACCTCGGGGACAAAGAAAGTTCTTATTTTCCAATTCTTTAAACTGAGCTTTCATTGAATAAAAATCTCTTCTTTCCCCCAAAATCTTCATAGCTATATCCTCCCCCCCCCGGTCTTTCTTGAAAATTACCATGATTTCGTGAAATACACGGAAAAATTACCGAATTCCTTTGAAAAACTTGCGAATTTTATGGCGCTATTTGAAGAATAGTGCGGTTTTAACGCTACTGCGCGGTGGCCTTTTCCATGTTCACAGGCCTCCATCTTTTCGTTTCCGATCTCGCGATCATGATAGCCTGATCAGGAAGTTTCTTAACCTCTGGGATAGGTACCTCAATTACAACTTTTAAGAATCTTTGATTAGGTTTCATTTTCTTAAGGGAGGACTAATCATAATATTTCGCCCCAACTTGCGTGATTTTCCTGAAATGAATGCGGGGAAGTTACTGAAAGTTAGAATAGAGACTGTTGGTTGGTTTTCCTTTTAAAAAAATCATGTGAACAGAGATTTACAGAGTTACAATTTGAGGTAGTTGGGCATTTTTCAACGTCAGCCATCGCTATTATCCTGAAAGTACTCAGTTTGAAAGAAATTTATTGCTGATGGAGTTCATTTTTGAAGTGACTCAAAATATAGAGGCGAATAGTGATTTCAGAAAAATTGATCGAAGCTTCGGGTGTTATCACTAAATAATATTATTATTATTTTTTTTAAATTAAAGTCAAATAGTAATCATGATGAGCTCTGAAAAAGCAGAACATGTAAAAATAAATTGCGGTATCGTAAACGTATAGGTTCCATTCAATAAATGTTTTGAAAATTTAAAATTATCTACTAATAGATAGAATGCATTACTCTTTCATTTGGACGGCAAGTAACAGCTCCGAGACGAAATGATCCAAGATCGAGAAAATTTAACATTTGCTCTCATTACTTATTGATGCAAATTTCGAAATCTGCTGGAGTAGGAAGTGTAAAGAACACATTTCACACAACCATTATCGTTGAAATCGCTTGCAAGATACGTACGGTAAAATGTTTTTTGACTGCATGGAACATTAAATTATTTCCCCTCCTCGGGTAGCTTATGTAACAAATATTGTACATAGAGATTATTTACAAAAATACAATTCTCGAACCTGGCAGCCAAAGTACCTCTAAGAAATGATCGGCAAGGTCCGTTTAAGTTTGATTGAGGGAACGTCATTTATTGGCAAAATGATTTCCTTTTGCTGATCCTTGTGGTTCGTGTTTTTTCACGAAAACTGACCTGTAAAAAAAATCGATACAACTTGGATTAGTTGATAAAGGATACACCAGTATTAGGGTGGTTTCACGATAACTGGAATAGTTTTGTCGCCGTAACAGACAACACATTTTTCGGTCACATATTTATAGTAATGATAATTACTCGAATTTTTTCGCATTAATCTTCAAAGAGTTACGGATTATAACGCTTTCTAATCATTTATTGCTCTACTTCTCAATTAATATTATGTAAATTTCGGTCATTATTATGTCACGCGGTAAAAGTCAGCGTAACAGACAGCACATTTTCGGCCATTTATAAATTAAAATTGAAAAGTAGAGCGATTAATCGTTGAAAAGCGTTATAACACGTGACCCTGTGTGGATTAATGCAAAAAAATTCGAGTGATTATCATTACTACTAAAAATATGACCGAAAAATGTGTTGTCTGTTACGGCGACAAAACTACTCCAGTTATCGTGAAACCACCCATTAAAGTTATTTATATTTTGTATATTGTTCAAAATACGTGCCCCTACACATGAACAGGTTGCAAAGTTTTCGTGTTTTTTTTCTTTGTTCAGTAAGTCAATACTGACACTGAAATGAAAATTAAATAAAAAATGTTTCATACACTCCAGAAATTGTTTAAGAACAAAAATCATTCGTGCTAAAAAAGCCTAGAAGAAGAGGCATGATCAGAAAACATGTCTCGTTACTTAAGAGAAAACATGAATGTATTTTAAAGTCACGTGCTGCGGAAAATGCACGTGTAGTTGCAGTTTCAAAAACACATCGATCATGACAACGATTTTTTATCTACTCCAAAAGAATGCGGTCTTTCTTTTAATATTTTCAACCAAAAATTGAAAGAGGCAAGAAATAGGTAGTTTCAGTACATGACATTTTGAAACATCCGTTAGGATATTTGAAATATTAACAAAAATACGGAGCAACGTTTTAGTTGCCCTGGTAAAAATTGGCGATAAGAGCTGCGTTTCAAAATACCATAGGAGTTCTTATAGCCGACTAAATAAGGCTATTGAAAATCATACAGCTGGCTGTAGAAAGCGGAGCAAATCATTTAGCCGGGCTATACGAAGCTATAAAAAGTATACAGTCGGGCTATAGTTCCTAACGCTGGGCTTTACACTTTATCGTCATTGGCTATAAAAGGCTATAAGAAATTGTGTAGAAATGCGTGTGCTTTGGAAATCAATAAGTTTGATACGGAACTACCTTAATATTTACAATACACACATTATATTTTCCTTTAAAACATTTTTTTTTCCATCACTTAAAATGAGAAAAATCCATACAGAGCGTGCAAACATTTCAAAATCATGAGTTGAAAAACGCTGACTCCGCGAGATTAAATATTAGAGCCCAACACAAAGCGGAGCGGCGACGCACTGGCGCCTACAAACCTAACATGGATACTTCACGCATTGCGCAATGCGTGAAGTATCCCTGTTAGGTTTGTAGGCGCCAATGGGCGTTCCGCGCTCTCTGCTCGCCCGCCGCGCCGCAGCGCACCACGGTGTCTGAAGCAATTTCACACCAGAGGTATTGCATAGTATCATTAGAAATTGAAGGCGCTCCAACATATTAAGAATGACAGGCATCCTTCAAAAGTACGGAGCTTTCCTCGTGAAATAAATCGAGATACTACAGCACAAAAAGAGAACGGTAGTCCAAAGACTAACTAAGTCCTAATATCCGTATTTAGTAACGTTTAGCATAAACTTTATCGTCTGGCTGTCGCTTAATCGCCATCGGCTATAAAAGACTATGAGAAATTGTACAGCCGGCTACGGAAGCTATTGGAAATCTTACAGCCGGCTTTAGGTCTATGGTATTTTGGAACACAGATTCTACTGCCAATTTTTACCAGGGTGCTGCAAGCTGTCGGAAGAAAATAATAATTATCGACAGCTTATAAAATTTGTTGAAACTTTGGTCAAGTCCCACAATGTTCACCACACAAATAAAGCTCTTGGTGTATTTAACACAATGCAAAAAAGGGCACATCAAATCGTGGTCATGCTTTTGACGACTGAATTTCAGCTACTCATCGCTACTTAGATAAAGTTCTCATTGAAAAAAGCAAGATCTAGGTGCTGAAATCATTGGTTTCCTAATTTCTAGTCAATGTAAAAATGGTTACTTTCGTCGAAAGTATTTCGAGTTTCAAAAATAACCATCGAATAATTCTGTGCCCGGTAGCAGAGTCAATAATTAAAAGTGAAAAAATGAAGTGCAAACAAGTACTAACAAAGTGTGCGGTTAGCTACTACGCAGGTACTTCTTAGGAGTGCAGTGCCGCGGTACTGGAGAGTTGGTGCGACTTACAGATCGCGAAAGTTGTTGGCAAGGGTCGTGTCTCATCAGGAAATGCTCTAGTGTATCCCACCCACCTCCGACACGCACCATCATGTGAGTATCTTTCAGCAGCTGTGAACAGAAAAAAAAACCAGTCATGATTCAATAAATATATAAAATAAAACTGCCGTGATGGCGAAGAAAGCCGTAAGTGCAAAATTTTCAAATCCGAGTTTTCTTCAAAATTCGTCTGAACTCTTTTAGATAGATACTGAGATAGCTAAAAGAGCAAAATTCATCCTAATTTAATGAAAACGAGACTTGTGAGAAAGCCGTAAGTGCACAAAAAATGGCATAGTTTTTTTCAAGACAGCCGCAGGTGCGTGAGAGCCAATGAAAACAGAGCTTTCCATAAAGTGCCGCCCTCTTCTGCCAATTTCTAACCTGAAAATTTGTTTGTTGTGCGTCCAAAACGCAACCACGAAAGCATGCAGAAGATAGCACTTACGGCTGTCTTGCGTAACAATAACCTAACATGAAAATTAAAAATACCCTTTTTATGTAATGGAAATAAAATCAGTCTATTTTTAATCATCCATACGATTTCTAGGAGTCTTCCGGACGAATGGTGGCAATTTGACAAAGAACGGAGGCTTCTTTCAATACAATGTTCCGGTCAGAAGCTCCTGAGCCCGTTTTCTCAGAACTTCATTTTTGCACTTACGACTCTCTCCTCTATCACGGCAGAAAAGAATCCACCAGCTCAGGCAAGACAGGTGCGCCAAAACTAACATCCCGTAGGCCAGTAATATCGGACGCACGATGCATGACAGGTAGCTGGCAACGCCTTGAATGCAAATATTCGTACTTCAAGGGCATGCAAAGTGTATACACGGAAAAATGAAGGCGTTTTTCCGCACTCGTGCCCGCTAAACACTCGCTCAGTTCCCGCTCGGCTGAAATACATTGTTTTGATGAGGAAGGGAAGAAACATCGTCCCTAGAGAGAAAAATGATGAGAATACTGTAAGAATTATAGAAGTAGCAGTTAGTCCATGAAAGAGTCAAGAAGTCTGAGAATTGATGAGAGAAAAATTAGGATACTTACCCTGATAAAGACATTTCGACCAGCTATGGAATACCTTCCCTCTCCAACTTTATTGACTTTTAGTTTATCACATTTGCTACCCAAGCAGTGACAATGCCTTTGAACTTCTTTTGTGGCTTGTTGGACCTGAAATAAGTGAAAAAGTGTCGCTCCAATTAATTTTAGCGTTTCATAATATTTTTTTTATTTTTTTGTTTTAATTTTACTTTTTTCAGAATTTATGGTCATGACTGTTGCGAGTGTGATGAATAAAAATAGCTACATGCAGCTAAGGATTTTTTTTTTTTTTTAAATTTTTGTTGAATGATAATTGAAAGCCGCTCAAAACATCTTGCCCTTTTAAGAAAATTTAGCAAAAGGTTCTGGCTATTTCGTACAGATTAGTAATATGTACACCTCCTAGCTGTGTGGCTAGAGGAAAATTAAACTTGTGAACTAAGAGAAAATTAAATTTTTTTGAATGAGACGACTTTTATTTTCACTCAAAATAAATTTCCGCACACACAACCAATTTTCTTTCGATCAGAGAGAATTAAGATTAAGTTAAAAAAATTTTACGTAACTTTTTTTTTCAGTGCACTGTTAAAAATTTTGGAGTGGCCAAGATCGATGTCAATGCTTTCTTGCCCAAAAACCTATGCTACACGCATCAAAATTCCCTCCCTCAAAACATCCATCCTTTAAGCTCAGATGATCCAAAAGTAGTCACCGAAATTTTAAAACTCTTTAAGCAATGATATTTAAAAATTTAAGCACCTGGTCACCGAAGTAAATAGCCTGGTTTCTGATCGTTGTAAATTAACTAACGAACCTATACTACGTTTCCTTTACCACTATTAGTGGTGTTCCACCAGTGTTCGAAACTCATCTTTGAGTTTTAGGAGCCAAGTGGGGCATCAAGCCCAATTTTTGGGCGCCATTGAAGATTTTTTGGGGGCCAAATTGACTTTTTGCCTATGTATTACGGCGCATTTAGTAAAAAGGTAGACGCAAGATGTTTTCGTAACAGAACTAGTAAGTAGCTGTAACTTGGGAAAGACAAAAGCACTAAGAATAAAATCGTGCAGGATCGGAAAAGGGAGCTTTCACTTGCAGTGCTGAAAATGTTGAGTTTTTTCAATTCCAATATATTTGTTTTTCTTTCTTTCTGTGACTCCCTGTGAAAATCCAGATTTTTAGGGGTTAGTTTTTAGGGGCCACATTGGCGCAGAGCCTTCATTCTTTAGGCGCCATGGCCGATTTTTTGGGCGCATTTGGCGCGTTGGCGCCTGTGAGTTTCGAACACTGGTTCCACATGAACTACTTATCAGTTGATAAGCCATAGCTTTTTCTCAGTGCACTGCATGAGACGTGAAATGAGCGAGATGAAAATACCTTTCTATCTAAGAGACTCATGCCGACTTGTTCATCGTCGAAATCAGGGTCCTCTGCGGAACCACGCGACCACTCGTCCTCGGTCGTGTCACTGGGGATTCCGTCACTTGCGCCCCTGAGAATCGGCGCGGGTCCTGTTTCGCTCGTTGCTCGTCGCAATTTCTCGCTTTTTCCGATGGTGCAGTGATCTGGGCTCACACCGCGATGCACCCAACCTCCACCTCCGCCCAGAACTGACGTCGAGCTGTTGGGAAAATACAAAAAAAAATTCTCAAGCTTTCCGCAGATTCTCATGACTCTTGGGAGGATCGTGCACAGTGGCAAAATTCCATGAAAAATAAAATCTTGAAATTCCACGTGAAATATTTTACGACATTTCAGAAATTCATGAAAGATATTGAAAAATTATCGAGAAAAAACACTATTTTGTAACGATGTTTATAATGCTACGGAAAAATAAAATTGCTGATTAAACAATTAAATTGTTAAAAAATAAGTCCGACATGTTTCAATGTACATTTTACAATTCAAAAATGTTTCCCACTATAAATATAGCTTCCCACAATTGTAAAATGTACATTTGAAACATGTTGGGCATATTTTTTAACAGTTGAATTGAATCAGTGAGAACGAAAACTCACCAACTCGGAAAAATGAAAATAATCAAGACACACACAAAACTGCAGAATAGGTGGAGAAGTTAGTTTAAGAAAAATATTTTTGCTGCCGAAAGACAAGCACTTATTGACACTTTAAAGGTCCAAGTTGGAACATATGCGCTAACTTCAATGACCTTCATGAAAATTAAATGTCTTTAATGGAAAATGAGCGTTTTCGAGTTACCGAGTTGGTGTGTTTTCGTTCTCATTGATTCAATTGTTAAATCAGCAATCCTCTCTTGGAGCAAATCAGCAATGCACACACTTTCAAGTAATGGCAAAAACACCTCAATTTAAAGTTTTCCAGCATCAAAGCTCTCTGACTCGAGAACTGCCGTGCTGAGCAAGAACCCCGTAAATCCATCAAGATTTTCCCGCGTTTTTTGGAACTAAACTCTTTATAAAATGAAAACTGTTTTACTCTTGCACCTTAAATTTTCAGGTTAAGTTCTTGATAGTATTTTCGAAAGAATTCTGTAAAAACATTTCCCCAGGGTATACACGTTTTTCTGCTATTATACAATGTTTCCAAAGAAATTAAAATGGCGTTTACGGCGTTTTTGCGTTGCACGGCAGAGAGGGGTTCCGATTCGAAAAAAAAAATCAAAAGAGTCCATGAAGAGGCACGAACTGAGGTTCACTCACCTGCTGTGCCTGAGTGTTTTACTGTCGTAGTGCCAAGCCGTCATCCCGAGTCCGGAATCGTGTTGTGATTCCTCTTCGGCGATTTCTCTCTCCAACTGAACCAGCCCCGGTGGCTCGACATTGTAAAGTGATGCTATTCTGGCTACCTCCATCAGGCAAAGTAACACATTCCTCGGATTCGCGTGCAGAACTGTAAAAATATTTGCACCACAAAATAAAACAGAGTAAGTTTATTTTGCATTCTGGGCATTGATCCTTGTAATATCTTAGACGGAGGCTTTTTCGGCCGAGTTTTCAATGCAATTAAGAGCATGCACTCATAAAATAATGATTATCTGCTCCCGGTTTGAAGAGGAGTTGTGAGTCAATTGACTCATTGCTTGAGCCGACTGAGACACAAACTTAACGGTGAGTGAAATAATTTAGAGAATATTACCGTCAGTTTAGAGCAAAATGTAGTCTTTTACACTGCCGTGCTAAGGAAGAACGCCGTATAAACATTCGAGAGTTGCAAAATTTCCTTAAATAAAATGTTCATTTTTGGGAAAAGTTATGAATAATTTTCCTTTAAATTTTCAGGAACTTTAGGTGAAATTACGAACAATATTACCTGAAAAATTGGAAGAAGAATATTCATAAGTTTACATGGAAATTCGAGTTTCATCAATCGAAATTTGACAACACCTGGAGGCTCGAAAGGCTTTTTTCCTTGGCATGACAGTGCAGTCAATTAGCCTACATCTGGCAATAAGGAAACTTTATATCTGCCTCGTGTACAGAAAAATCTATCTGTACGCATACAGAAATTAATGATACAGACAGACAACGAAGCTCACAAACCACACATCTCAGTTTGCAGATTCGTACTTCCTTTCATACTCTATTTTTTAAAAATTGAAAACTACTCAATGACAATTCTTAAAACTGCCTTGATTTTTCTGCACTGTGCGAAGAAAATTCTGTGAAAACTTCAAAGAATGATGCTGGTTTTTTCTCCTTTAAAAAAACCAAAATGGGAGTGGAGATTTTAAAACACCGCAAACGAAAAACATAGTTTGAGTGTTTCACCGTCATTAGGCTGTTTTTGACAGTGGCGTGGCGTGCTTTGCGATGTATCGATTGTTATGTCCTTTAAACCTATGGAAAAGGATCGATAGACAGGGTGTTCGCGGCGAACATCTTAATAATCGCCCTGCGCGCAATGCGTGAAGTATTCATGTAGTCTCGTAGGCGCTATGCGTTTCACACGCCGACCGCTGCTGACCGCACTGTGTTTGACGCAATGCGTGAAGTATTTATACAGTCTTGCAGGCGCTAATATGTGTTTCATGTCGAACGCCGCTCCGCAGGCTTCTCCATTACATCTCAAGTTCTTGTCATCATTGCTCCCTGCACCATGCCGTTCTAGGCTAAATTGCGTGTTTGGTTTCTCTCTCAACTATAGAGTAATGAAAGGTGCTGTCTCTCGTATCATCGAAAGACGAACGAATTAGAAATGGCTACACTCTTAGGAAATGAGAGATTTTGTCGCCTTATCTCGTTTGTAATTTTTTTGTTAAATACGAATTTTTTTTCATACCGCATTTAAAAAAATTTGAAAAATTTGCCGCCATGGGCCGCGGCCCATGTGGCCACCCCCTAAATCCGCCCCTGAATGTGTTACGTAAAACTAGAACATTCCGGAAAAAGTGATGTCTAGTGCCTACCTAAGTCTTCACTTTCGAAAAGCAAGTGTTGGTGAACTCCAAGTTTCCGACAAAATTGGATGAATTTGTCCATGTTGTCGCGGGCGAAGAAGCTTCTTCTGGCGGCGGATTCGAAACAGCGACCGGAAATGACTGGAATTGGCTGCGGAAAAGATATTAAATCGGTTACTCATGAACAAATTGGCGGGGAAAAAAGCACAGGATGAAATTGAGCCACAGATTGTGGTCACGCAGTATTACCACTTGCACTTAAGTTTTAGAGCTGACTTAACTATAATGAGAATGGGTCTGCAGTTGATCAATGGATTGATGATAGCTAACTTTTAACAGATCTTTTTAAAATTTCAAAAAGTTTAAAAATTTTGGAGTCTTAGGTACTGATTGGCGAATACTTTCAAATAACTTCGAAAACACTATCCAGGGGTATCCTGTAAATCGTTTAATTTCTCTTCTTTGTACTCGAAGAGTGTTTTCCACAACATGATTAGTAAAATCATGTTGTCAAGTAGGCGAATTCAGAAGTTTCGAACGAAAGGGACAGAGCGGGGGTCCAGAAGGCTATTCCCAGAAAATTTTCGAGATCTCTAACATTTAATATATAGTTTGAGGCAGTTTCATCATGAATAATTAACAGATATAAGCATTCTTCCTTCTCCTTTCCTCCGTTCTTTCCTTCTTTCTTCCCTTATTTTCCTCCCTTCTTTTGGAAGAACAGGGGGAGGCGTACGTCCCAGCGCCCCTCCCCCCCTGGATCCGCTTTTCCTGTTGCCATATGTTGTGGTATGTTTTTGGAGAGTCACTCAGGAGTTCTAGCAAAAAAATTCCAGAAATTTAGGTTGAAGGTTAGAAATTCTCGACTGGGTGATGGCAAAATCCTCGTACAAAATATGTAGAGTCATCTTATAGAGAAAGCTGATACGCTTTTGCGATGCTATGTTTAATACCGCCCTCGTTGAGGCAAATTAGGAACCACGCGAAGTTCTGATAGCGTGATCGTGATAGAAGACGGAGTACGTTATGTGTAGAATGAGTTGCCTACTCACCTTTTTGCAGGCACCGTGATGAGCTGCTTCCTGCATCTTTTCTTGAATGACTCGAGCTAACCGGCACAAGACAACACCGTTGTCAAGCATGTCCAAGAGATTGGAGGCTGTCAGACAGTCAAGACCTGCACAAAACAAAGCAAACGAGAATTTAAATTAAAACACGCGATAAGCTCAAGCCAATAAAAAAATAAATACAGAATGAAAGCTAGAAAGTCATCAAAAGTTGTGGGCAAAGAGGCGTATTTTGACAGGTCGAGCACACGCCATGAAATGAAAGTTCGTGGTCGTGCTGAATATTTTTATTTTGTCAAAGAAGCATACAATGAAGTGGTAAAACTCTTGAAAAAGATGCAAAATTGGGAAATTCTGTTGGGAAAATTCAGTTGTAATGTAATGAGAGGATTCGTCGGTGAAAAGAACAGCTAACTTTTGAAACAATCGAAATGTGAAACATATCGATGACCTAAGTGCGAAACCATGTATCTCAGTTCGCGACGCTGCGGATTTCCTGTAATACTTTCTTTTTTCTTCACAAGACTAGTCAACAAAGTTTCGTGAAAACTGTCTTGATTTTTCATCTTGGTTAGCAGAATAATCTGTGTGGATTTCAAAATATAAAGTTTGCTTGTTCCTCTTCGAAAAATAAAATAGGAGCGGAAATTTTGAAAAACCGCAATGGAGGTACGTGGTTTCGCAGTTTGGCCATCGATATTAGGACAAATTATCATTATTTGCGCTTCATAATTTCTAGCGCTGAGTTCGAAAACTTCAATTTTTTTTCTATTTGCCCGTTGATTTAAAGTAAATTGAGGTTTCTTCCAGATACGTGGAAAAAAAACATCACAAGTTCACAAAATTGGACGTATTTCTGCCAAACGGGACTATGTGCTTTAAGACTTGAGCCCTGGGACCCATAAGAATATATACATAAAAAGGCTCACGCCATAATGTACATAGTTCCGTTTGGCAGAAATACGTCCAATAGTCTTCGCTGCATGTTATGAGGTGGTTTCCTGGTAAAATTACATAATTCGATCTTATTTCATAAATTCTCTACAATAAACACTCAGTCATAAAATATCTTGCTTCTATCGTGCTTCTATTCCATATCCGTCAAAAATTCCAGAATTTCTTTCTAAGTTTTTCAAAAGTTCCGAGAAAGTTCCGGCAAATGCAAAAAATCCGGCACAATTCGGGAATGTTGTAAGTTCCGAGAAATATTCTGGTAGATATCAAAAGTTCCTGCATTCGGAACTAGTTTGGAACTAACGAATGGAAGCACTGAAACCATCCTGTATTTTTGTATTTTAAAGCGCCAACACACATTCTAAAATTCGAACCAAAATCCAAACAACTCGTTTTGACAGCCCAACTTGAAACCACGCGTTTGGTAACTCTTTTTCCGGCCACGCCTGGTCTCCGCCTCCATTTTATTCCCATTACCAGCGTTGTCAGATCGCAAGTATACCTCGATACCATGGATATGAAGTCATGCGTTTTCTCGTTCCACTTGGCATCGCCGCCCAGTTTAATAATGCACCCGCACTTATTTCGTTTCCTCCTCGGAATGGCCGTGCCCTGCGCCGCACAGTGGGTCGAGTCAATCAGAGGGGTCGGACATAAAATTTTTGGTTAAAACTGCAAATTTTGATGTTTAATCCGTCACATTTTGATTTACAAGGGGTGATTCTGAAAGGAAATTTCACGAAAAAACTAATGGAACCACATTTGGAACCTTAAATTTTTGTAAAAACGGAGTTATAAGCGATTAAAATTTCCAAATTTTGTCCGACCTCTTCTGTTGACTCAATCCACCGTGCGCCGGTGCGGGAGGCGCGTCCGATGATTGAGGAGTCGTAATTACCATTACCGGTCATTTGGCCGCTCATCATTTGTGATGAACGCCGCGAATAAAGAAGCGAGTTGATGGACCGGATAATGGGTCAATGCACGCCCGGCTCGAGCTTAAATATTGTGCACGTGAGTGAATTGAGTGATGCATGCTTTCGCGCGTCTGTTGTTCTTAAACAACGTTGAAAAATAACAACACTTCACTGTTAAAGATCCCGGCGCGAAATTCGCACTTCCTCAGTTGAATCGGTGAGTTCGAAAACACACCAACTCGGGGGAAAAAATTGTTCAGGAAACATCTAAAACTGCGCAGCGGACGAAGAAGTTACTTTGAGAAAAACCTTTTTGGTGCCAAAGGACAAGTACTTAAGAGACTTTGTAAAGCACCAAGTTGTAATCGATACATCATGTTTGATGACAGAGAATTAAGCGTAAAAAATTTCCGAGTTGGTGCGTTTTCGTTCTCACCGACTTTCAGATACCGATTTTTCACAGTCTGACCTGAAAAATTCATAATTTTCGACCTGAATAACGCTTGAATATTTATATAACTTGTTGGTACAAGGTATACTCAACCAAAAAAAGAAAACCGCCAAATCGGATGGTCACCTGCTTCCCTTGAAATGGCCAAAAATTGGTATTTCCAATGAAATACTTAGATTTTTCCCTTTTCCCGTCGCTGCTTCGAGCACTTCCGATTGGAATTTCGAAATTTCGTTTTGCGTGCAGATGCTTCTATCCATAAGTGTTACTAAACCGTAAAAAAGTGAAAATCGAAAAAAACCCGAGTTGGTGTGTTTTCGAACTCACTGATTCAATTAAGTAATCGATAATGTGCTGTTTTGTGCCGCGAAGTTAAGGGGGTGAAATGTCCCTCAACATTGGGAGGGGCTTACGTTCTGCACCCCTGGAGCATGTATCTCATCATCAGCAATTAAATTAGAAGCCGTCTACATTAACGGCCCCCATCCTCGACATGACACAAGCGTAAGCGACGACTCCCTCCTCCATGCACACTGCCGTGCTAAAGAAAAACGTCGTATGTACCTTCAGGCGTTGCCAAATTTCCTTTGATAAAACACGAATTTCCTGATAAATTTATGAAAATTTTCCTTTCGATTTTTCCGATAATTTTGTACGCAATTTCACCTAAAGTCCCTGAAAATTTCAAGGGCAAATATTCATAACTTTCCTCATAAATAAACTTCTAATTGAAGGAAATTTGGCAACGCCTGAAGGTTCATAAGGCGTTTTTCCTTCGTAAGGCAGTACAAGGGTCCTTAATTTATGGATAAAACACTCACACACTCACGCGGAGTTGAGCCAACGAACGGTGGCGCCGATGGTTGATATACGGCACGTGTTACCTGTCACTCCGCCTTTTGTTTTACATTCGAACACCTGAGCTAACGCCCATAACTCGATTTCTACATGAGCCCCAGAAAGCATGGTTTAGTATGTGAAACATGGCTCACGCGAAAACTGAAATACGCCCGTGCGTCAGAGGAGCGACGATCAGAGGGGTGTTAGAAAAATATAGAAAAACCCGAATGCGAGACCCACACTGAACTCGCGGCACACCCTGTCACATCCCTGTAGTAGAGTTGGAACAATGGTTGCGCATACAGCCCACGGTCGAGTAATGCACAAGTCGCGTTGCCGCACTAAGATCGAAATTTCGAATTTTATCCGTTGTGATCGAAATTAAAGGGTGTCCTGAACTGCCGTGCCAAGGAAAAACGACGTATGAACATTGGAGAGTTGCCAAATTTCTGCGGATAAATCGTGTATTTTCGAGGAAAGTTCCGGATTTCAATGGTTATATTTCAATGTATGAAGTTGCGCGATCCAACATTGCAAAGCTCCTGGTTCCTTTTTGCAAAATGCAATCCAAATGTACAAACAAGGTTATCATGCTGGAACAATGTCTGATTAATATTGCGTGCAGTGTCACCGCTTTTCCATAAAAACAAAAACAAAATTCTAAACATAACCGCTGCTCTTTGCTTATTTCCCAGCTTTTTTATAAATTAGGCGACACAGGTTCAAAATTGCTGCTCATGGGGAACCTCTGCACCTTCCTTCGAAACATTGGTACTCGCCCGGCTAAGTGCAATGCGTTGCTTCCAAGTCACAAAAGCGTATTGTTCCAGAAGTGATTAATCATTAACCTCTTGGAGTCTGGGTCTACGTCTGTTTCTGATTGTTGTTTGGGTCGCGCTCGCGCAGATGCGGCCCTAATGCGCGGTAATCGTGCGTAATTTGTACTGCGGGTTGCGTCATTTCGGGCGCAGTCTAGACTCTCGGGGCACGTCAAAGAAGATGGGCTCAAGAACCGCGTGTGGGTTTTGTACTGTCGAGCTTTGGAGACACATGCTACCGTCTTTTCTGCGACTTCTCTTAGAGACACTCTCGGCTTTGCCTATGGGCCTATTGAAAACTTTAACTAGAGCGAGAGAAGGGCTTGTTTCCCAAAACGCTCATTGTAATTCTTGAGCCATTTTCTTTAAGATATAATAAATAATTTTCAGGTGTCTGAAATTTTGTGAATTTCATCTTTGAAATGATACTGCTGGGAAAACTGAGTACGAGGATATCCTTGGTTACGAAATTGAACGATTATTGGAGAAAATATGACAAAATAACTTAATTTGCTGAAATACACGTGTTTAAATGGAAAATGCCGCCAGATGACGTCACAAGGCGGCACATTTACTCACTTTTCAATTTCTCCAATTTCCCATGTCAGAAAAAAATTATGAAAAATACTGCGAACTCAGCTCATTAGGCACTTTCAGATGAAGCAATAACATTTCTGTGTGCAAATTCTCAATTCTTCTTTTTGCAATAGCTAAAGTCTGAAGCCAGGGTATCTAGTATAACAGACTGGCCAAAAGTCAGTACTTTTTCAGTACACTCCCAAGAAATTCAATACCTCCTCGACAGAAAAATTCCATACTTTTTCAGCATCTCCATTTGACGAAATTCGGAAAATTTCGAAAATTTGAATTTCTGACTCAAATTGCGACAAAAATGAAAATATTCCGGACCTTCCTGCGGAATTTTCGCACAGTTTTAGTCCTTCCGGATCGCCCTTCAATCACGTCTTCGGATACCACGTTTCGGATCGCCTTCAAAAATCAGTAATATTTGATGACGACCCTCAAATTCTTGACTTGTAGACACCCTGGAAGCACACCCATTTGCAATGTTCAATAGTGCTGTACAACCAGGCGCGTCTAAGAGTGTTGTGACACAACGCATGGTAATT